TTATAGGGTTGTTACAGCCTTACAAGTTCTAAAAGAACATGTTGCCTCATTTCACACCTATTTTACATTTTATATATTTAAAGTTCAACAGTTTTTCGAACAAGTCCTTTCAACTGACATCAAATTGAAAACTAATGAGATAAACTTTCTGATGAAGGATTTATAGTAGCTGTGCCTCCATAAAATATATGTAATTCCAACTCAAACTGGGATAGACATGTCAGGGCATTCCTGTATAGCAATGCTTCTCTAATATTGGCTTGATTTTATTGCAAAAGGTAAAATAGTAACAAATTTATAATACTAACACACATGTCTGCAAAAATATTTGAACTTTTTTTTCAAATTAAATTATAAATAATTTCATCAATAGCCAGCATTCACTTTTTGAAGAGTAATGAAGGTTTCATAGTTCACAGTTGGAGAGGATTGCCTGAGTGCAAAGGTTTGAGCCCTTTGCAATTTGGCGAGAACTCATCTCGGCAATAAATCAGGAAATTAAGCTGGGCTCGGTGGCTCAGCCTGTAATCCCGCGCCTTTGGGAGGCTGAGGTGAGTGGATTGCCTGAGCCTGCGGGTTCGAGACCCGCCTGGGCAGCGAGACCTCATCTCTACAATAAAAATTAAAAAAAAATCAGCCGGGCGTGGTAGCACATGCCTGTAATTCCGGGTACTCGGAAGACTGAGGCCGAAGGATTGCCGGAGCCCAGCAGGTCGAGGCTGCGGTGGCCGGGAGCAGCCACTGCACTCCAGTCTGGGCGACTGAGTGAGACTCCAACTCAAAAAAAAAAAAAAAAAAATCAGGAAATTAGCCGGGCATTGTGTGGCATGTGCCTATGGTTCCAGCTACTTGGAGGGCTGGGGTGGAAGGATCACCTGAACCCAACAAGTCAAGGGTGCAGTGGCCTTGAGTAGCATGCCACTGCACTCCAGCCTGGGTTACAGAGTGAGACTCTGACTCAAAAAAAAAAAAAAAAAATTCAGGATAGTTCACAGCTATGAGAAACACGTTTCTGGAAAGCGGTTGCTAATAAAGAAAGAGCAAATGTATGGCTTAACTAAATGGACTTGGTCAGTGGAAGAAGTACCTGGAATCCAGTACAGGAAAGGGAATGCATTCTTGACATCTTTCTGCATATCACTGGTTTACTTTGGTGTCTGTAATTTACATTTTTGGTACTAGTTAAAAATATAATGAACTGATATGTGTTTTAAACAGTAGAACATAAAAATTAAAAAAAGAAACAAAAAACAAAATCCAGAGTTCAGTTTCCACAAGCTCAGTTCTCTTGTATTCTCTTTCATGGGTTATTTGCTGCCCGTATTATTGGATCCTGCCTCTACAAAAGGTATTCATACAAAGAATTATGCTGGTGGTCTTTTTTAACTTATTATTCAAAATTCAATGCAGGGAGATCAATAAAATATTATTGTTATAATAAGCCATCTACTGGGACATAGAGATAGCACTGTTCTGTATTAAATGTTGATCAGCCTCTTTCTGGTCATTTAATGTAATTCAGTGTGTTTATTATTAATGGATAAATCAGAATGTTCTTATTGTGTTTTGAGAATAGATCTGAGGCAGTTATATAAAAGAAAATTATCTCTGGACTTTGACAAATTGTGAGACATCGCTTACACAGGAAAAATAGAATAAAATTCTGTATATAGACCTGAAAGTTTGTGATGTTCATGTTAAAGTGAGCTATTTCTAAATCATCAAAGTGATTCTCCTTCATGAATTCTTAACATGAAAATCAGTGCCTTTCAAGACTGTATGTAAGAGTAGGGCAGCCAGAAACTCAGATCTATTTTGATCCTAAATAAGTTACAAATGCGTCAAAGCTTGACTTTTATAATGTTGGAATTGTTAGCTACTCTTCAATCCATAGAAATCTCTATGCTAAACTCTAGGGTAATTAGCACGGAGCACAAAAGGAAATTTTATTTTCCTCTTTGATCTTCAATGCAAACAGTAGAAGAAATCCAAGATCTATTCAGACATAAGCAGATAATGGCTAACTATTGACCTTTCCAACAATAGAGAGAAATATTTACAGGTGAATTCTGGGAACTGAGTTCCTTTCAATGCATAGATGTGGTTATGTTATTTTACTTGGCTCTCTTTGTGTACATTTTAGATTTGTTTTTATTCATCAGCAGAACTTGGTATATCTAAGAAAAAGAAAACTGTTAAAGAATATTCCATGACTTCCTTTGCTTTTCTTTCAAAATCCTTGTGATAATATTTTGGTCCCAAATGTCAATAAAGCCCACATCAAGAACTAAATTGTAGGAGAGTTGACACCCACAGGTAGGGAATACAGTATTTTCTTTCAGGTTAGTACAATTAGTAATAGAAATTTTACAGAAAGTTTAATATGTCTAACATCCTAATTTTACTACATTAACAGTTATTTTAAAAATCAAGTCTATCACTAACTATTGTCTGAAAATAAATTGTTGGCTGAAACCTAACATAACTTTTGCTCCCACAAAAAATTATAGATATACACCATTATGTAGTTTATATGTTTATTTTTATACCTAGATTCCTATTATCCTTCTTCACCTTAGGATTTCCTACCCCAGAAGTACAGGTTACTCTTGAGCAGTGATCATATGTCAAATGCATAATTTGAAAGCTCCTAGATTCTTTTGATAACATCATGTAAGAAAGTTACATTAATGATTATTGAAAAAGTGAGGGAACTCCATCATTTCCTTGTAGCTCTATTGCCCGTTGTACAACCCTACTGAAGGAGATGACTGATCTAGTTCTATGTATTGGGAGACTGGAAGTGAGGTACAGAAAATAACCAAAGACAATTATATAGAATTTTTTACTCATTCGACTTTTGAGGTGAAGCCCAATACTTTTTCTTTTTTCCTCACAGGCTAAAATACCCTCATTGAAGTGCCATCTATGACTCTGAAAATATTATTTTACAAAATGTTTAGCAGAAAATAAATTAAGCAAGCCCTTTCACATACTATATTAAATTGTTAAAAATAGCTTCAATATCTAAGTTTACTTAATGAATTCCTTAAGTTTAGTATAGTTCTTATATCAATAGACCAAATAATATGTTCTTTATCAAAACAATTCAAACAAAAATATCATAGAATTTACATAAGTGTAAATTAACCCAATAATTTAAAAATCACAAATACTTACAAGGTTTAGAAATCTAAATGTCTCTTACTTATGTTTGTCAAAGTCAGTGCAAATGAGAAAATATAAATTACACATTTATAATGGGAGTTGTAATTTTCCAATTAACCAGATAAAAAAGGAGCTTATTTACTAATTGCCTTTATTAAGATACCTAGAAAAATGAAAAACCACACCAGATACTGACAAATCTGTTGGTTGTACTTTATTGTCTTTTTCTGTCCTTTTTTAACCACTTTTTCCCATAGTCTAAAACTTTGCTCCATTAATTCTGGACCGTGGACCTACAACGCAGGGTTTCTCTAAAAGTTTGTTAGAAATGCAGAATCCCAGCTCCCACACCAGACCTACTGAGTCAAATTCCGTTTTTAGCAAGATCCACATATGATTCCATGTCAATGTTTGAGAAACACTCACTTTCTTATACGGCTCAATTAAATATTCTACAACAGAAATCACAGAAAGATGTAAAAATATTTGCTAGTACAGCTTAACATGGTGTGATATCACCAGAGGACTCTTATATAAACTTATCTTTTCAAAAATTTCTTTTTGGAAAGTGTATTAGTTTTCTACTACTAGCATTAAAATACCATAACTGTAGTAGCTTAAATCAAAACTCAAATTTATTTTCTTATAATTCTGTAGGTCAGGAGTTTATTACAAGTCTCATTGGGTTAAAGTCAAAGTGTTGATGTGGGACGACCATGTTCCTTTGTGTGGATTCTAGGGGATAATCATTTCCTTACACATTAAAACTGTGATCAGATTGTAATTGCTTCCAACAGCAGGGTCAAGGTTCCTGTTTCCTTGCCGGATGTCAGCTTGAGGAAAGTTCCCAGTTTCTGGGGTCTGCCTACATTCCTTGTCTTGTAGTTCCCTAGCTCCATCTTTAAAGCAAGCAATAATGGGTCAAACCCTCTCACTCTTCAGATCTCTCCATTGTTTTGTTTTGTTTTTTCTGTCTCATATCTCTAAACCACTTTTCTGCCTTCCCATTCCAATTTTATGGGCTGAAATCATTACATTAGACACATTTGGATAATTAAGGAAAATCTCTTATCTTAATGTCTTTAACATTAATCACACCTGCAAAGTTACTTTTTGTCATTTAAAGTAACATATTCACAGATTCTGGGGATTAAGGCTTGGGCATCTTTGTGAGAGTAGACATTTTGTCAACCAGAAAATGATGCGAAGCTTATGGTGACATCTTACATTTCCAACCCTGATAAGAAAATCATAGAACTCTGTGAAATTATGACATTTCATTTTTATATATAACAAGTTAGATGGCTAGATTGAAGGAAGACTTTGATTCAGCTAAAATCTTCCGTTAATAGAAAAACATTCAGAAACAATGTATTTTATAATGGCCTTGTCTATATTCATTATACTCATAAAGGACTTTGTGGACAGTTATGTTGTTTGACCTACTTTCAATTTATTCAGTGCTATTGACTTTATCAAGTTTAACACGGACTATTTAATATTTCTCAAACACTGTAATATGTCTGTGATAGAAGAAGTGAACCAAATGACACTTAAAAACTCACTTAAAGGCCGCCATAATGATTTATGAGCATAAATAATGGCTACAAAGTACACATGATCATAGAATAGTAATAATGGAAGTAGTCATTTGGAAATATATCAAATTGCTTAAATAATTATTCTATAAAATAAAAATTCAAGAAATTTATCAGTATTTTACAATTAACATTTTTGTTAGATCATTGTGGGACTTGTTTACTTTAAAAAAAAATAGAAGAACTAATAGTCTTAAAACAATGCCTGGATTTATGAGTCTGCTTTTTTGCCAGATACTCAGTTGATCGGCATACTGATATGGATCGTATTTTCGATATCTACTCAGAAAATGGCTCTATTTTCACTTTGAAGACCCTTGACCGAGAATCATCCCCTTGGCACAACATCACTGTTACAGCCACAGAAATAGGTAAGTTGGAGCTGCATCCATCTAAATACATTACCTTTCATAAGAGTGATAAAATAAAAGGACTGATTAGACTTTTTTTCTTGAGTTGAATGATTGCATCCTTAACAAGGTCTTAAAGAAATGACTTGGAATATCAACATATTTTTAATTTTAAGGATTATCAAATAACTCATTTATTTTAAAATTCATTTTCTTTTACAACTTACTAGAAAATAGAAATATAATTTAACCTCACAAGATGTCTAAGAAAAGTGTCTATTACAAATAATATTTCATTCTCAATTATATTTTCCTCAATTTTACCGTGCTTTTCATTTGCACCATGTAAAAGAGCTGAGATATTCATCAGCAATACAATTGAGAAAGTGAACACCTCAAAAAGAACTGTTGCTAAGCTACAAATGGGGTGAGTGATTTCACTACTTTTCTGTAAATGAAACTGAAATCTTACACATGTTCTCATTGCAGATAATCCAAAACAAAGTAGCCACATTCCTGTCTTCATCAGAATTCTAGATATCAATGACCACGCTCCCGAATTTGCTATGTACTATGAAACATTTGTTTGTGAAAATGCAAAACCTGGGCAGGTAAATAAAATCATTTAAAAAGTTAAAACAATTTTCTCTTTACAAAGTCAAATGACAGTGTATCATTTTATTTGCATGATTTTGTGCAAATTATACTCCTTGTCATCTACTTATTTCCTCTCAACAAAAACTCACAGTGATTTTTAAAAGATGATTTTTAAAATTGTTTTCATGATGGAATCAATAATATAGTAAGAACATATATAAATTAAAGAATATTTTATAATTTTCTCCTTTGAATATATACTATATATGAATATATATAATGAATATATATATGTTATATCCCGGTATATAATGAATATCACAATATAAAGCTCTTATCTGAATTTATGCTGATGCTGATTTATATTTACTAATGAAATGGAAATACATTATTAAATAAAACATGAAGTATGAAAGTGAAATTGTTTTATGTTAATATAAAGGAAATCATAATAATTTTTTTCAATTACATTTTGCTACTTTTAAATAGCTTGGTTGGGAGACTTTTTTTTTTTTCAAACAAAGTTTATTACAGAAAGAAGGGCAAAAAGAGAGACATGCCAGAGCTGGCATGGGTAAAAGTAACCACCAGTCATGACACTTTGATTTGATATTAGTTGTATTTTGATTGTGATTCAATATTTTTCATATAGCTGAAAATATATATATAATTGTTTGTAAAAGAGTCACAGAGTCCACTTGCAAAGTTTTTTTTTCAAATGTATATAAAGTATTTTTTAAATGTACAATATATTCATTTGGGACAAAAACAGTATTTTCCAACATTAGTAACTGCACAAATTTTACCAAAAGTAATTTAACTAGCTATTTAAGTCTTTATTTAAAGAAATAGGGGACAGATATTAAGAATCAGCTTAAGATAGCACTGGTAGATGTAAAAAAAAATCACTTATAATTCTGTCATGTGTTTTTAAGTGTAGAAAATAAATACAGTTTTTATTAATAGAGATTATTATGAACTGAATGTTTGCACCCTCTCACTCATATGTTGAAAACCTAACCCGAGGGTATTTGTATTTGGACATGGGGTTTCTAAGGAAGTAATGAAGGGTAAGTGAGGTCATAAGTGAGACAGGAGATAGCTAGAAAAAGGCTAGGCAGACAGACAGACAAGGCCTCTGGTAACAATGTAGTGAACTCCTGGCAGGCCACTCAGACTCAGCATTGGTAAACAAGCTCCCTGCAAGCCTCTCAAGCTAGAGCTTAGGTATTCAACAGCTGGGATCAAAAAGCAACCACTCAGTTCACCATTAGGCCCCTACCTCCTGCTGATCGGTCCTTAATACTGACCAATCAGAACATCTACAGCTCACAGCTAGTACTAGCCTATCTGCTTGGACTTAAGCTTGTATAAGCACCAGGCTTTCCGCCCCAGATAGGCAACTTCTTCTGTCCTCAATAAATCCTGCTTTCTCACTTCCCAACTGTCTGTGACCCTCATTCTTCCTGGGCATGAGACACGCACCTGGACCCTGAAGAGTTGTGACCTGAAGAGCTGCAGAAGATTGGCAGAGTCCAAAAGTCATGCACTCCAGAGGCTGGCTTGCCAGTCCAGGGAGTCGGCTAAACCAGGAGAGTTGCCGGAAGAAGGAGAGACTCTGAAGCTGAGACACCCAGGGGGCTAGGCTTTCCAGCCCACTCAACCAGCAACACTCTCAGGGCTTGGCTTACCAGCAACACTCTCAGGGCTTGGCTTGCCAGCCCATTGGAGCCAATACACTGGGGGCTAGGTTTGCTAACCCACCAAATCACAACATTCTCAGGACTTGGCTTGCCAACCTATTAGAGCTGACACTTCTGGAGCTAGGCTTACCAGCCCCTCGATGACTCTTTCTGGGGTTTGGCTGTCCCGTTGAGCTGACACTCTCAAAGCCCAAGCTGACCTGAAAAATCCACATCATAAGGGTGTGAAGCATGACCTGATAGGATGTGTGTCCTAAGAAGAGACACCAGAGAGCTCATATGTCCTCTCCCTCCCTGAATTCATGAACCAAGGAAAAGTCATATGAGAGGACTCAGAGTAAAGATAGCTATTTACAAACCAGGAAGAAAACTCTCACTGGAAACCAACCATGCTGGCATGTTTTGATTGCAACCTTCTGAAAGAAGTTCAGCGCCAGTAATGACTCCACACCCGGCCAGGACCAAGAGATTTATTAAAGCGGCAGTTACAAGGAAAAAGTGAAAGGGTCTGTGGAGACAGAGAGAGAGAGAGAGAGAGAGGAAGTGAGAGAGAGGCGGGGAGATAGCTGCAGAGAAGAAGAGAGCGACAGAGAGAGACCGAGAGAGAGTTGCAGGGAGAGGGCTGTACTTATCAGCCCAACAGGAGCCGGAAGGGGCCATGCTATGCTCCTATTGGAGGAGCTGCATGGGAGTAGGGTGGGGCCAATGCCATGTTATGGTCCTATTGGACACATAACAAAGCTGGCTACTGATTGGAGGCTTGCAGGTTTGAAATTGGCACGCAGGGAGGTTTGAAAGTCCTGCGTGCCGGCAATTGTGCTCACAGAAGCCAGACCAAGGGCCTTTGTTGTCTGGTGTGTCGGCGCCATTTCGGAGCCGCCCCTCTGGTCGCTTCCTGCACCCTTCACCTTCCAGTCTCCAGAACTGTAGAAAATGCATTTCTGTTGTTTAAGCAACCCAATCTGTGGGATTGTTATGGCAGCCTTGCATACTGAAAGACATACCACATTCCACCTACAAAAATGTAAATTTATTTTCTTTTTATCAACCTAGAATCATTGCATAGTTATTTGAATTTTTTTTCACTTTGCAACGTGTAATAGGCATATTCTTAGTTCAGTAAATGATTATGTTTAATTTGATGCATAATTTGCATAGCTACACATTAACCTATTCAGTTACTCTATTGATGGACATTTAGTTTATCAACGGAATGCTATTACAGTAGGCAGAATTATAATGAGCATTGTAGTACATTATGCTTGTTTACCACCTGGTATTATTCTCCTTTGCTATAATACTAAAAGTAGGAACAATTACATACTATAAATACTAATAGATGCTGCTGAATAATTCTCCAAATATGTCATTAACTAAGTGATACTCCCACCAAATGTATATGATTGTCTAAGTACTTAGGCAACTCTAGATTTTAAATGTCTGCTAATACCTAAATATCTCAAATAGTTTTAGTGTGAGTTCCTTCAAACTCATTGTAGTTAAACGGGTTTGTTTCATTAAAAATGTGTCTTTTTTTATGGCTATTTTAGTTTTCTAGGACTGCCATGACAAATTACCACATAAGAGATGACTTAAAACACAGGATTTTTTTTTCCCTCACACTTCTGGAGGCCAGCAGTCTAATCCAACACATGTCACAGGGCTTTTGCTCTCTACAAAAGTTCTAGGAGAAGATCCTTCCTTGCACTTCCTGGTTTCTTGTGCCTACCAGCAAACCTTGACATCCCCAATTACTCGGGCTTGTGGACCCTATTTACTCCAATCTCTGACTAAATCATTGCACGATATTTTTCCTAAATGTGTTTCTGTGTCCAAATTTGCCTCTTATGAGGCTCCGGTCACAGAATTAGATTTTTTCCTAATCCAGTATGATCTCATTTGAACTTGATTACATCTGCAAAAAGCCTATTTCTAAATAAGATCACATTTGCAGAGACTGGGAATTAGAACTTGAACATAACTTGTGGTTGTACACAAGTCAACCAACAATAACCTATAGATAATCTTTACTCACTAATCTATTAGTAGGCTTGTCTTTATTGATTCATATGAATTATTGATATAGTGCATGCTAATATCTGATAATAATAAAGTATAACTGATTAATAAAACTAAGTACAATTTTTAAATATATGCTGTTACTATCTCATTAAAATTAGCAAAGTTAAAAATAAAATATAATATATATACACTGCCGGACTCGGTGGCTCAGCCTGTAATCCCGCGCCTTTGGGAGGCTGAGGTGAGTGGATTGCCTGAGCCCGCGGGTTTGAGACCCGCCTGGGCAACGAGACCTCATCTCTACAATAAATCAAAAAATCAGCCGGGTGTGGTAACGCATGCCTGTAATTTCGGCTACTTGGAAGGCAAAGGCAGAAGGATCGCGCCAAAGCCCAGCAGGTCGAGGCTGCGGTGGCCGAGAGTGGCCAATGCACTCCAGTCTGGGTGACAGAGTGAGACTCCAACTCAAAAAAAAAAAAAAAAGTATATATATATATATATATATATATGCATATATATATACACTACTGTTACGTATATCCTCTTAAAATATGCTTAACAAGGCCCACTTAATTATTTCAAGAACTCAAAAGTCAAAAGACCAAATTTTTCTAATATGAAATATTACTAAAAATTAGATGTTCTTGCTATTTAGGATCAAGAGGTTGAGCAAGAATATTAGATGTTATATAATTGATTTCTTATATTATGTGCTAATTTGCTAAGGAGAAAAGGTTTATGAAGTTTGTATTCTTAATTGTGCACTTTCAGAAGCACTGCTAAAGAAACATATGGTTACATGTCACTATGTCTATAGAATGAAATTATAGTTAACATAAATTTTTTTTTTTTTTTTTTTTTTTTTTTGAGTTGGAGTCTCACTCTGTCGCCCAGGCTGGAGTGCAGTGGCTGTTCCCGGGAATGGCCACTGCAGCCTCAACCTGCTGGGCTCCTTCCGCCTCAGCCTTCCAAGTAGCTAGAACTACAGGCGCGCTACCATGCCCTGCTAACTTTTTTTGATTTATTGTAGAGATGAGGTCTCGCCAAGTTGCCCAGGCGGGTCTCGAACCCGCGGGCCCAGGGAATTCACTCACCTTGGCCTCCCAAAGCGCGGGATTACAGGCTGAGCCACCAAGCCCGGTGTTAACATAAAATTTAAGTGGAAAAGTATTGTCTAGTGTGTGTGCAGGTTAGTATAATCATAGAAGGTACCCAATAAGTTTAACAATGAATAACTCAAACTGTTGTGAAATTCCAGTAACTGTTCACCACAAAATATTGGAGTATGATACTTTTTTATTTTTGGAGAAGAGAAGTTCAAAGAAAGGGTCATTAAATGACTGTGATTTCAAATCACACAGATGGCAGGCACCCCAATGTGTAGCTTAGTGCTTTTTTCATTATAAAATGCTCAGTAAAATTTTTCTGCCCAACCTGTTGTTTGCTGTTCTATGGCCCACAATGGCATACTTCTGATTTACAGAACTCAGTCAAGAGGTGTTTTAATATAGAAATTCAACAGTAATTTCCCAAAACTTTAGAAGAATTTCTTTGTATATCTGTCTTTGAAAATACCATTAAATCAGCCGGGCTTGGTAGCGCATGCCTGTAATTCCGGCTACTCGGAAGGCTGAGGCGGAAGGATCGCCGGAGCCCAGCTGGTCAAGGCTGCGGTGCACTCCAGTCTGGGCGATTGAGTGAGACTCCAATTTAAAAAAAAAAAAAAAGAAAGAAAATACCATTAAAATAAAAGCAAGCAATCTGAATAAAATATGTAGTATAATTCAAATAATGTCACCCATAGATTTAAGCTCTTTTTCTATCTGATAGTATTTAACAAATTATTCATTTTTTCAAAATTATATTAATAGCATTCTTAATGTATGAGAGTGGTGGTGCTAAGCATTTGTGCCTTTTAAAATGTTTATCTTTTATGTTCTCCTCCTTTGAGAAATTGCTTTTTAGTGGAGATAACAAATTGGCAGCCAATTAATAATAAAACAGACTGCGTGCCTTACAACATTGTCAAAGAGAATAGTTATTAGAGTGGTTACATTTTTCTTTAAGGTGTTCAAGAGTCAGAAAGTGATGCATTGAGGTGCCCTGCAAAATAACACTTGATGAATAATTTTCATTCTTGATTAAGTAATCTTAGATAAAACTATATTTTAAAAAATTTTCTCAAATGGGAATTTTTGTGTGTGTGTGGCTTTAATTTTAGTGATGTTCTCACAAATACATAGATTTAAAGTATCTTGTAATAACAAGAGAATTGTTTTTGATTTTAAATAATTAATTAGTTAATTAATATTTATTTTAGTTGATTCAGACTGTCAGTGTCATGGACAAGGATGACCCTCCCCGAGGCCACAAATTCTTCTTTGAACCAGTACCAGAATTTCCTCTCAATCCCAACTTCACCATTGTAGACAATAAAGGTATATAACATTTCTAAATCCAAAAATTATAAAGCCTTAAGATGCCAAATTAAAAACAAATGCCAAGATTTTTTGGTTTTGTTTTTTACTTTTTTTCCTTCCAGATAATACAGCAGGAATCATGACTCGAAAAGATGGCTACAGTCGCAACAAAATGAGCACCTATCTACTTCCAATTTTAATCTTTGACAATGATTATCCAATTCAAAGCAGCACAGGCACGCTCACTATTCGTGTGTGTGCCTGCGATAATCAAGGGAATATGCAATCCTGCACGGCAGAGGCCCTGATCCTCTCGGCTGGCTTGAGCACGGGAGCTCTCATCGCGATTCTGCTCTGTGTCCTCATACTGCTTAGTAAGCTCTGCCCTTCTAAACATCCTTCACTTGCAACATTCGTTTCCACATTGACCCATGGATAATGCCCTGAAGAGCACTCTTCTTTATAGCTAAAGGCAGAAAACTTCAACTTTTTATTAAAATTGTTCTTTCAAGTAGAGAAAAATTGAAGATTCTGTCTGTGGGAATAGATCTAGATTTCTAGAGACTAAAACCAAAAGTATCATATGCTATTTACATATTTTTAAAACATATTTTATACCATTAGCTATTATAACTTCAACTAACCATGGCCACTGCTCCAAGGACACTGGATTTAATCACTGATTTAGTTTTTATATCAACTGTATTAGGTAAACACTTTTCTTCTACAGAAAGGCAAAATAACTTGCCCAAAGTCACCCATTTAGAAAGTGTTTTAACTAGAATGCAGTTTATTCTACAATAAAATTCTCCTTGCCATTATTCTCAGAAACAAAGACTACTTTTCCTATGAAAATACTATTACTAACCAATACTAAGTTATGTGTGTCAGTTGCCTGCTTTGCAAATTTCTTAAAGTGATCCCAATAAGTGAAACATTGTCCCCATAGAATTTATCATATATTGATGTAACATGCCTAATTAAATAGTGAAAACTTAGTTGTTAAAATATCATTATGACACTGTGGTTATACCACTCATACCTAGCGCTGCAACATTTTCTAAATAAAGTCATGCTTCCAATGAAAATGTTTTATTTGGGAAGGCACTAACAGGACAATGATTTAATTCAATTAAACAGTTGTTTCACTGCACAACATTCCAAAAAAATTGTGGCATCAAATATTCATCCAAAATGCTTACACTTAGGCAGGAGAGCTAGCCAAATTGATGTTCTAATGCTCATATGTGCTGGCTCCTTTTCACTGCAAATCCTTTCAAGCTATCTGGATGAAATCCCTTTGGCCAGAAATTCTTGCAGGACTTCAGTGGGAGATTGATGAAAGTAAGGGAAAAACATTTGTCTCAGTTAAGACGATCCAACTATTTAGAAAAACATTTTCTCAAAGTGGTTTAGAACATACACACTACTCCCTACACCATCAGCAGTTTCCATTTCCACCTACTGTTAGAGAGTTCAACTCCCCTGTAAAATATTTGTGTATCCTTATGGAGAACAAAATCTGGCTTATCCCTTTAGCTAAGTGCTACTGATTTCATGTTGTTTTATTTACTCATACAGTTCCAGTTTGCTAATTTAGAACAGTATGAAATATATATATATTGCAAGTTTGTTTTTTAAATTTCTATATTAATGCAATACACACACGTACTGAAAGACATTCATGACCGCATAAGAAAAAAAAAAAGCATCCCCCTCAAATAATTTAGATATTATAACATTGTCAAACTAAACTAGATAACGTTTTTTTTCTATGCAGGAATCCTAGATTTATTCTTTTATCCTTAAAAGTCTGCCATTTTTCTTCCTTGAGGAATATGGAAAGCACACATTTCTTATTTTTCATTTTCTCAATATATACTAAATGTGGAGTGACTTTATATGATTGTAGATAAAATAGATTCTAATTCAAAAGTTTCATTATTAAGGTTTCTGAAGCATTCTTGCTGTCACTTGGAGTCTTTATAGTAATGATCGGATAGCTTATTTCTGTCGTTAAAGGAGTTAGCTCTCTAATAGATAGTGATATAGCATGGACAATAATGTTTGAGATGTGCCTTAAAACATTTTGAAGAAATGTAATTCTTAGTTTATAACTATCTTAAGAAGTAAAATAGAGGATTAAAACCTAAGACGGGACTTTTAAAACTTTTGGTTCTTTTGGCACTCTGATGCAGTTTATGGATCTGAGAATAAAGAAATGTATTTATACATCCTAAACCAAAAACACATAGCAAAATGAGTTTGCTTATTAAATTATGCATGCCATTTTCTATTGCAAGTCTAATAATGGTTTGAGATATGTGTCAAGCTCTAATGCAATATAAAATACTTGTCATACATACTGCCATTATCAGTTTATGCAGATATTCATGATGGAAAGAAATGATAAATTTGAATGAAAAATTATGATGCACTTTTTTTCCATTCCTTATTCTAGCCTCCCTGAATTCCATTCACATACCCCAAATTAATAATCTCAATCTAGGAAGTAATAAGACAGTTTTGATTTAGCAGAAGAGAAAAACTCAGGTTAAAAGGACCATTTGTGGGAATCTGTAAACCTTTACTAGCTAAGGAATCCTTTAAAATATGATTATTTGGTTGCTATTTATACATAAAAAGTAGAGAACTTATAAATTAATTCATGCAATATTAAATTTAGAGAGAACTTTCTTTTTCTAGTGCACAGCTCAGGATTAATGGATCTTGTTGGATTTAATTCATCTTATGTCCATTCTTGATTAGGAGAGAGTACTGATAATATCTCATTTTTACCACATAGTTTTTTTAAAAATGTCTTCAAGATTATCCTTTAGTTCAGCAACCAAAGTTCATTGTGTGGATGTTAACTGAAGATACTTCTAGTTATCTTTTAAGAAATATTTCTATCGATTAGGAAGAGCAGAGGAAGGTGTACTGGCCAATATGAAAATAACATTGAACAGTTCTTTAGTAGAATTATAGGGACCTAAATGGCCATTTTGAAGTATAGTCTCAGTAGAAATGAGTTTGAGTAATTTCAGTATAAAAACCAAGAAAAGGAATAATAGCTTTTGGGAATAACATGAACTTATTTTATATGAAAAACAAATTACTTTAGCAAACATTCAAGTGCCCTAAAGTAAAGGAAATCTAGTTTTTACTTCTCCCTAGTAATATTTAAGTGTGTTTTTTAAATATTTTACTAATTTTATTTTTTTTATATAAAATTAGGGATTTGATCCATAAAATGGAGTATCTTATATTTTGGAAATCAAGTGTTTTTTAATGTATTTTGTTAATTGCAACATGCATTTATTAGGAAAATGTTCATTGTCCGATATATGTAGAATAATTTAAATTCCTATGCTATAACAAGAAATAAGGAAGTATACTACATATGGGAAAGTTCATAGTTAACTCGGTAACATAGAATCATGTAAACAATAAAAACCATAGAACAAGTAGAGAAAATGCAATTAACATTTCAGCTCAGAAGCTTAAATGCAACTGTGTAATCAAGGAAGTCCATATTAACAAGATAACATCTAGGCTGTCTTGTAAGATGAGTATAAGTTATGAGTTTGAATTTGGGTTTTACATGTAGCTTTTAGAGCTATATTTCAGATTTTTAAGCAGGCCTTCAAAATCAGACTACTAAAGGAATTTAGTTAAAATGGAGATGAAATCTACAGCTCATAAACATTAATATGTGTATATATGCATCTGTATATATTTTGCATATATTCCCTTGAGTCATTAACAAAATATTCGATTGGTGCTCAATTTATCTTGTAATAATAGCAATTGGCACTATGGCATTTTTGTATTTGAAACAAATACACATTTGGAAAAAGTGAAGTGGCAGGCAATTTAAGTTGGCTAGATGTGCTAATTATAATTGAACAAAGATTTTTAAAGGTCAGAGGTTTGTAAGACAGTATATCTTGAAAGTAAATTAATGACACTGTAATGTGTGCTTCTTTATCAATACAGTGCATCCAATCATAGCTCCGAGGCATTCTGTATTTGTGTAGGATAGTTACTCTTTTTATCCAGTCTTAATATCTCTTCACACAAACTTCGCGAACAGAAATGTTCTCTATTGTATCCTAAATCATGAAATCCCACCGTTCTCTCTCTCTCTCTCTCTCTCTCTCTCTCTCTCTCTCTCTTTTTTTTTTTTTTAATGAATAGTTTTGATAGTGCTGTTTGCGGCACTGAAGAGGCAAAGGAAAAAGGAACCCCTGATCATTTCAAAAGACGATGTCCGGGACAACATCGTGACCTACAATGATGAAGGCGGTGGGGAAGAAGATACCCAAGCTTTTGACATCGGCACATTAAGGAATCCAGAAGCAAGAGAAGACAGTAAACTTAGACGGGATGTGATGCCTGAAACTATTTTTCAGATAAGGAGGACTGTGCCTCTGTGGGAAAATATTGATGTACAAGATTTTATCCATCGAAGATTAAAAGAAAACGACGCAGACCCAAGTGCGCCTCCTTACGATTCACTGGCAACATATGCCTATGAAGGGAATGATTCCGTAGCAGATTCGCTCAGTTCTTTAGAATCTCTCACAGCTGATTGTAACCAAGATTATGATTACCTCAGCGACTGGGGGCCTCGTTTTAAAAAACTTGCCGACATGTATGGGGGTGATGATAGTGACCGAGACTAGGACATCGTATGTCTTGAGCATATTAGCAGAAGTGCTGTCTATGTTACTAGATTGAGTGGCCTGTATACTCTTCCTTGGAGGAAATTCAAAAATCTAAATTACAAACAATACCTAGGTGTTGTCTTAGTTAAGGGTTTGCTTAATCGGTAAGTTATTGTGAATGAACACGAATGACATAGATTTTTTAAAAAAGTAATAATAACCAGTTCACCTTCTTTGCCTAACAATCAGAAGGAAAGTATATCACATCAATAATCAAGCAAAATACTTAAAAGGCTTTTTGTGCCTTTTCTTAGATATAAGAACTTTATAAATGTTTTCGTAACTGACTTTCAGTCACCTTTACTATTAAATTAAACATTGTGCAACTGCTTTGTAAATTAATATGGAAAAAATATATCCCTAATGAAATAGGAATGACTATTACTGCCATATTTATTTAGTTGAAGAATGTCTTTGTGTTAATTCATTCATATTTTTATAAATGTATATTTATATTTTTATATTTTTATGAAATAAACTATTTATAAAAATACATTTCATTTTATTTAATTTCTAGAAGCAGTTCTTATCTCACAAACAACAAAACTGTTTTACATCTTTAAATGTAAAACATGATTCACTCAGGGAATAAGCAGCTAAAAAGATACTGCATGGGATTTGGAACTAGAATGTAGTGGAAATACAAAAGAGTTTTGGTACAAATTGTTATTTTTCTTTTTCAGTCACTTAAATATGAACTAATGTTTATTGAATCACTGATGTCTACCCATCAATACAACATGAGAAACCTTTGAATATAAAATATTACATATATATATGTAGTTGTGGATAATAAACTTTAAGTTTTTGCAAGTCTTTACTATGGGATCAACCAGTGAATTGTATTTGAGAATAAATAAAGTATGTGTCAGTAATGTTATATAGATAAAGAAAAAATCTAAATCAGTCTTCTTTCATTAATAGTATAGTTCTCAAAATGAGCAATCATAGTTTTGATTTTTTTCTTCATGATGAGGCAATTTATGGAATATGTGCTCGGGTCTTAACATGTTTAAAATATATACTGAGAAAATAGAGGATTTTTAATGTATTATGTTATTTAGAACATTCAAAGTGATTGTATTTAATAATATTTTGGGAACTAAGGACAAGTAGAAAAAAGAAGCCCAAGAGAATATGACGGTTTACTAATGATTAGGATTATCCAGTAAACAAAATATCAATAGGCATCTTAAGACATGGGAAAGAAGAGCAAAGAGGAATCATGCATAATAATCATTTGCAGATCTTTGAAAGATTGCCATGCATAAACTTGTCCTCATTTGGCTCAAAGTACAAAACCTAACCCAAAAAGTTGGGAACTTCACAGAGAGATTGCAAGTTATCTATTTTCTAAGCCAAGAATTAACCTTTTTTTCTTCTTTAATTATTCATCTGTTAAGGAACAAATGTCATTCTCTCAGTAACTCCTGCATGGAATATATAGGAGAAGTTTAACATTGACTAGTCTGTTATCAAGACATTTTAGTGAATATCAAATTATAAACAGGTATTTATATGTTATTATGTTACTCTGTTATAAAGTTTTGAGGACTAACACTAACTCAATAATTTTATCACCAATAACTAACCCATATTAAAGATTTAATTTCATGCTAAGAAAAAAAATACTGAACAATATGAGGAATTAGTTGATTTTTTAGGCTGACTGAAATTACTCCAAACCAGGAAGTTTTTAGATTTAGTTTAGACAATTTTAGTTTTACCTTAAAAAGTAATTTGTTTCCCTATTGCTAGAGTTCTTCCAGCATAGATAAGATGAATGTGTGAGGAATATGTAGAGTGGCCTAAGGAAGTAAAAAAATGAATTAGGCATCTAACAAGTCCCCTTATAACCACTTTATACTATAATCACTACAGGTTTACGTAACAATAGAGAAACAAATCCTAAGGATACCTGTACGAACTGTACATGTAGTGGCTATTTAAAAAAGAAATTATGTGGAGCAAGCGATAGGGAAATTGGTAGTTACATAGCTTGCCTGCATTTACCAGGCTTGAAATACTAAGAGCACCACAGTATACCAAACTACTTACAGGTCATAGACCTACAATTGCTATGAATCATATTGATACTAGATAAAATAAGACAAATTATAATTTTAAATTTGATTATTAAGAAATGTTATTTGACTATCACTTTTTAGCAATTAAATGATAAAATTCTCTGATCTGTGAAATGCCTGATATACTGGAGTCTTTATAAGACAGAGCTAACGGATTTCATATTTACTAGATATATGGTTGTTTTTAAGGGGTCCAATTTAATCAAGGAAACTACCAGATCAGTGTAATATTAAAACTTCCTATACTGTTCCAATCATCTATGAAAGTTCCATTGTAGAAAAAATACATTTAAGAGCCAGATGGATTAGATTTTTAAAATTTTTTACTGGCAAACTAGAGAAAAAAATTGAACCGCTCCAGGAAAGCAGACAAAATAATATTTTTTTTTCTTTTTTTTTGGGGGGGGGGGAGAAGAAAGAGAGAAAGAGAGAGAGAGAGAGAGAAAGAGAGAGAAAGAGACTAGAGTCCAGTCTAGTGCAGAAACCCGACAAAATAATATTTACCCTGTTAAATTTGGATTTTATTTTACTAGGAACACACTGCATATTCAGTAATATTAGTTTCCATCACTTGATTCTTATTAACTGTAGCATGAGAAAATTAGAGAATAATTTATTCTTAATATGTACTTACTTTCCAAACAAAATAAATTAATTAGCTTCGAATATTTAAAATTAAGACAGATTAAATTAAAATCAATTTAGTAATCATTATCTCAAATATAATTAAAACAATTTCATTGTTTTATTTAGAAATTTCAATAATTTTCATAATAATATGTCTATATTTGTATCTGAATTTCTTTAGTGTGAGTAACCTATCTATATAATTTGAATTTTAATACACAGCCTGAATATCATTCTACTGAATTCTGCTCCCAGACATAATGAACAAATTTCAATGACTTAAATATCAAACTTAGTAAAGAGAGTAAAACATCATTAACAATAAAAGCAACCAAACATACAAGAGAAAAAGCACCAATATCTTACCTTAGCCAGTGGTAGATGTTGATAATTCCTTTTGCCTTAGCATGTGTCCTCCTCATTAGTTTTCTGGATTCTTTATTCTTTTGATTATTCTTTTACTTTATTCAGTCTTCTTCATTGTTTCCTTCTTTTCTTTCCTAACTTTGTATTTTGTAGTGGTGTGGGCCCTAGTATTTTTTGCTTGTTTGTTTTTTAGTTATATTCGGGCCTTGGTGATCTTACCCATTCTCCTAGATTCTATATATGTGTTTATTTATATCTACATATCTAAAATATAGATGGAAAATCCCCAAATTTACACTTCCCTTCTTCGCCTGCTTCTAATAATCCAAACACCTGTCCAACTAACTATTCTAAATTTCGACCCAAATATTTTTGAAGTAACATGGATCCAAATTTGAACTACTAATTTTCACTTTGAAAGTATTTCTCAGCTTGCCTCATGTCAGTTAATGATGACTCTATCATTCTAACTGCCCAGGCCATAAACCTTGCAGTTATTCTTCATTCTTCTCATTCTGTTATCTTTTATATATCTAAAATATATCATATTTTAGAAAATCCTACTAATGATACTTTTAAAATGTAAGAAATATACAATGGCTTTTCATCATATCTCTTGCTACAATCCTGATCTAATACTCTTACCTGGATTATTGTAATACGCCTCTAAATGTTTGTTCTCACTATCCTATGTTCCTATCAGCTATTTTCAATCCAAAATACAGACTGGGTGTGTTTCTTCTTCTTTTTTTAAATCATGTAAGTCTGAACATTTCACTTCTCTTTTGAAAACATAACAATTGTTCATTCACAATGAGAGTCAGTCTTCCCAATGGCCTCTAATGACCTATTAACTTTCCATTATTTTTCAGATCTTTTTTTGCTCAATTTCTTTAACACATTTCACACCAGTTATTCTGAGCTTCTTAGTTTTGCTAAAGTATTTTTTTCATAAGAAAATGTTGATCACTTTCCTTGGAACAATCTTTCCCTAGATTTCAACAAAATTGTCTTCTTTCAAGTGCTATTTCAAATGCCACTTTCTTAGTGAGGGCTATATTGGACAACATATCTAAAATCAAAAGCCCCACACTCATTTCTCCTGTTCCCCTTTATAAAAATAGGCAGATTCGATGGCTCAGCCTGTAATCCCGCGCCTTTGGGAGGCTGAGGTGAGTGGATTGCCAGAGCCTGAGGGTTCGAGACCAGCCTGGGCAGCGAGACCTCATCTCTACAATAAAATCAAAAAATCATCCGGGTGTGGTAGCGCGCGCCTGTAATTCCGGCTACTCGGAAGGCTGAGGCGGAAGGATCGCCGGAGCCCAGTAGGTCGAGGCTGCGGTGGCCGGGAGCGGCCACTGCACTCCAGTCTGGGCGACGGAATGAGACTCCAACTCAAAAAAACAACAAAAAATAAATAAAAATAAATATTTTCCACAGCACATATCACCATCCAACCTAACGATTCAACCATTTAGTCATTTAATTTTTTATCTGTCTACTTCTACTAGTATACTTGGTCTGTCATCTTGGCAATAATTTTATCTATTTTATTCACTGAAATATCCCATGTTTCTAGATTTTTGCCTTATACTTTGTTGGCATGAAGCAAATAGTTGCCAAATGAGTAAAATGCCCAATATTTGATACTTAGTCTGATAAAGTATTATGGATACATAGATTAAAATTAAAACAAATGTAAACCCCAAAAGGGAATATTATAGTCAAATTTATAGCAATATACCTATTTTCAACATGATTGTGATTATACCCTAGGCTGTTAAATCTAAGGACTATTTGCTGAATTCTGATTGACCATAATTAAGTCACTATTTGAAAAGCTCTTTCCAAAATTACAGAAAAACATGAACAATTTTCCAGTTAAAAAGCTTGACACAACTGAAATTGTATTCAATGATCTTAGTTTCTAAAATAAAATGATAGTGATATTTTACTAGATTTCAGACCATCAAGTCCAAATGAAAGAAGCAAAACACAAGCTCACTCAAAGAAGGGATAAAATATATAGGCTTCTTTTCTGCCGTTGTAGTTGCGTTTATTTATTTATTTATTTATTTAATGGCTGTGTTCTGAGCACTGTATAGGTGTTATTTAATTTAATTCTCATGAAATGACTGAGTTATCAGACAACTCTCAGTTTATAATTTTTTTATACTTAGGTTGCAGAATATGAGTTATGGAAAATGAATAACCCTAAGAAAACATTTTCTTACATAAAGATGCTTAATTGCTTTCAAATTCCAATCAATATATGAAGCTCTTTAGAATAAATATTACTTGATGATAGCTTATATGGAACAGAAATATCAGCTATTTATACCTCTATGGTCAGAATAACAACCTAGAGACATTGGGTCTAGTCTATAATTTACCATTAAATCATTCTTTCTACGTTTTCTTGAAGAATTTATTAGTGAGGTTAAGCATTTTTTTTTTTTTTTTTTTTTTTTTTGAGTGGGAGTCTCATTCTGTCGCCCGGACTGGAGTGCA